AATGCGATTGTGACCTGTTCTTGTATATGAGCCACATCGCATTCCACATGATAGACCGACGCGTGCGCTTTGCAGCCGGTCAAGAATTCCTTGATAAATCCATGGCCTCGGTGCTGGGCGCATGCCGCTACGTGCGTTTACGCCGCGGCCCGGCAAAGGTCCCGCACCCCGATAGAGAGGGGGCCCTAACGCCGACGCGGCCCGGGACATCCTTAAACACACAGGAACTGAGCTTAGGATCCGAGCACGCGGACATCGCGCCGCAACCATTTCCAGGAGTGGAATTCCACGGCAGACCATGCACATGATGGGGGAAATAGTTGAAACAACACAACATGCCACTGGACTTCCCCGGTCAACAGCATGAAGCAATGCTCGTGACCGACGACTTTACATCCTACTGTGGGGCGTCTCCATGCCCGGCGCCGTGTGGACGTCAGCCGGCGCGTCTGCCAGACCTGCCGGCCTTGGACCACGAGCAACAGCGGATGCGCGAGATCTGCTTGGGGGCCATCACTCAGGCGAGCGCGGCAGCGAAAGCGACCCGAGCATTGCGCGCGAAGACGACGCCCGGGCCATAATTTCTATCGCGACGGGGATTTACCACCGACCACCGACCCACCACATCGGAGAACGCCTGGGGAGGGCGGAACGGTCCACGCACAGCTGCTCGCGATCACCCTGACAGGGGTCAAGCAATAGCGCGGGTCGGCAATCGCGACGTTGTTGTTCGCTACCCAGATTCAAGGCGCACGCGCTTTACATTCAGGCTCTGATGGTCCGAGAACTTGGCTCGGACAACACCGCACTTCGAACGGTGTTTGTTTTTGTTGCATGTCTACCTGCAGGGGGGCCCGCGACGACGTTCGGACGCCTGCCAGCCAGGCGCGGGAACTTTCAAAAACAACTCGCCCAGCAAATTCTCGCCCACAGTGCATCCAGCACTACTGTGCTTGATCTGGACTTGTGTTAGGGTCGAGCATGTGTTCGCAGTTCGACTTGCGAACAGTATCCACCGACTACCAGCACCCACTCGCGCTGACAGCTGCACCTTGGTTTACTATGACAACGATGTTACACCAGGGCTCCACTGCGACGAGTCGGATGGCGCAGCCCTCGACAGGTGCGTGATGACTGGGTCTACGCATGCAGGGGTAATACAGTGCCTGAAAGCATCCAAGCCTCAGGCCGGCCGCGACGAGGACCTCTCGAACTTCGAAGAAAGTGTAGGCGGCCTTGCGCCCCGCGGTGACTCAGCGGCGGAAGCGCTTGAGAACGAAGTGCGCCCGCCTACAGGGCGCCCCCCTACGACTCAAGAAGAGTCGGAAGCCGACCGTGAGACTTCTGTCTTTGAAGACTGGTATCCAGAATTCCAGGATGATCGCGAGTTTCTTGCGACTGCGACACTGGGCCTCCTTGCATCATGCCTACTGCGACGATATCAGGCCATGCGGCCTTGATTGCAGTAGCCAATGATGCCCCGGGCACTCGTCATCGTGGAGACGCACACTACCGCAATTCAGATGTTTACCGCGTCCCAGCGGCCCCTCATTATGGCGAAGACTATGCGCTTGATGCCGTCAACTATGGCCAAAATACAGCATGTTGATCTGTAGCCGATATGGCCGCAGTTGTCCTTGCAGAACAGCAGCATCGTCTACTGCCGAACGACAGCGGCGCCGCGATTCGGATATGTCTCCGCAGCTGCAAAGCGGGAGGCGGTGGTAAAGGGAGACGACCTGCTCGCTGGGGCCGAGAGCCGCCGAGCCAGCGTAGGCACGAAAAGCTTTCCACACTGAGTTAAGGATTTGGTTCGATAACACATGCTCCAAGATAGCATACTTCCAGACGCCTCAAATGTCATGACCACGCGCTACGTGTATGAATGGGTGTTCACCAGGAGTGGTAAAAATGGAAATGGGCAGGGCACTTCGTTTGAGACTTGTCCTGCGAGGGTTCGTGGACGCAGAAACCTTTGAAGTAGAAACTTATCCAGGAACATCCAGAAGGCCAAGCCGGCGTCTACTGGCCAGTGAAGGCGCGCATTACCCTGGTTGGATAATTGCGTTTCTGGAAATAGACAAAGCTTTTCTCAAGGGTCTCACCTACCGGGGGCTTGCGCAAGCCGCTGGAGGGCGGGAACGCAACGCGCGCTTTGCACCGCCGCCCTGGAGCGGCAGCCGCGTTGCGCGCCCTCCCTGGGCTCGAGAAGCACGACGAAAGTCGCCGCTGCGTGCAATGCCTGACGCCAGGCACTGGGTCGAAGGATGCTCCGCGAGCCTTCCCCCTGAAGCCTCGCGACGCCGCGCGCAGGTCCGGGCCGCGAGCCATTTTTCGCGACGGAGAATTCGAAACAGCAGAGATGCTACTGACGGCCCAACACCTGGGCGATATCAATATGACTGGAAAGGAGGAGACCGTCGATCGTTGCGCGAAGTGCGCCGAAAGCACGTTTGGCGCACGCGTGCTTCAGAAACACAGCTGCGCGACTTGCGTCGTCTTGGACCAGGGCGAATACATTAAACAGCTTCGCCCCATTCAACGCCGCGACCTCACGGACGCGGAAGCCGAGGAGAAAGCGACGAAACTTGTGGCTGACTCGTTCGTCAATTTCCGCGGGGCATTAGCATGTGCTTTCATGGCCCAAGTCTGGTCGATGGCACATGCTGTGTCCTTGCGGCGGTTTCAAGAAGCCGCCGGCGCTCAGGCGCGCCGACTGAATCCAATCGCGCGGAACCTGCAGAGACGATTGCCGAATAATGTTTCCTTGCAGAGAAGCCCACTGGGGAAGTCGATCTACACAGCGACTCCGGCTATAGACATGTGACCGGGGACGATGAAGACGAGATGAAAAGGGCACGGCATCAGAGGTGCTAGCCTGAAGTCGCATCGATTGCATGTGAGATCGAGCTACACTGCGGAGGCGCTAGCAGAAGCCCATAACTTAGAGGACTGGTACCCGACCAATGTTACCCTGCATGAGTTAAAGGCGGGACGCCTTACGCCGAGAAAATTCAAACATATACTTGAAATCGGCGGTCTGTGTATCAAAGTTACCCTCGCCATCGATGCGGAGTCGGCATTCTAATCCTTGTCCAGCAAGGGCCTCAAACAGCCTACAGAGTGCACGCTGCTAGGACACATTAGCTGGGTAAGACAGCTGATGGATATACGCATCTCGCACAACAGGCAACGGTGTGATACGCGGGGTATGACTGCCGATGGACATGCCATAGGCAGGACTGAATGGGATTAGTTGTTGCAAGTCATGGCGGGAACGCGATCCTTTAAGCACGAGTTCAAGACTGACGCTCCTAGCAGGACCCTGACCTCGAAGTTTGAGCCCCGCTCGCGACGATCCGGCGGAATGCTCGCATGTGGCGTGGGAACACGCGTTGGAGCAAGCTTCTTGGGCCCTTCTGCGCAGGGCCCCGCGTGGCTGTCGCTGGCAATTGGCCAGGCCAGCCCATGCAGTCTGCATATCTGATTTTGCAAGCTCAACCTTGGCTCTGGCCAGGTTCTGTCTTGCCGCCTCTTTGCAGACCCAGCCTGGCTTTGGCCGGCCAGGGGCGGCTCGGGCGATCCCGTGCCCCATGGCAATTTGCCGCGCGCGCTCTCTCAGTTAAACTGTAGCTTAATCTCGTCGCTCGTTCCGCTCGTCTCCTCCCCCCTTCGACTCCGAGATCAGGGGGTTCAGTGGGGTGCGTGTATATCGAGCATTGCGAGCGTGCCGCCGGCGTCTGGCTCACGACCCTTGATTTGTTTGGACCGCTAGAGGATCTTGCGGCCCACTATAGCATTGGAAACAGGGGGCGTTGATCACGCCCCCAGAAGATGCACCATCTGACACCATATCCCAAACCTCTTACTACATGGTGCTCATATGGTTTTTTACTGGGCGAGGATGACGACGATATGAGGGTCGAGGGGGCGGAGGGCGCCATCGTCGTGGAGGCACTCGGAGTTGCCTCCCGACGGGTGGGTGGACACTTTGCCGATCGCGCAGGAGCGTGCTCGCACTGCGGGCGGCCCTGCTTCGAGCAAGGGCAAGTGCGAGGGCGAGGTCAAGGGCGGCGCAGGCAAGAGCAGGGCGCTTGATCTCCTCGTGCAGCCCGCCGTCGACTTTTCGGAACGCCTGGGACCTCACCGCATCCGGAACTTCGCGGCGCCCAGCGAGGGTGAGCTGCGCACCATGACCGGCGTTTCGGAGACGGAGCTTGCCTCGCGTGGCCGTCGCATTGCTGGTGGTGGCCGCAGAGGTCGGCGTCGGGAACAACATATCCAAAACCGTTGCGGAGCGCGTCGTCGTCAGCTTGCGGCGCGCTCAAGTACATGGCCATCGCCCTGGTCGTCGCGCGCCGAGTCGTGTCCCAGCGTGTGTGGTTCGATAGAGCGACGGCCGGTGCCCCTGCTCCTGCTGCAGCAGGGAGCGGGCCTGCGGCCCTTCTCCTCTTCCCTCTTCCTGCTCCTTTTTTTCCGCCTTGTTTGCTCGGGCGATTCCCTCCCTTCGTCTTCTCCTTTCGTATTGTGCCCTTGTGCTTTCCTCCTCTGCCTCCTCCTCAACATCCGCTTCCTCTTCCAATTCCTCTGATTGTCAGTTGTCCTATCCTTCCTATTTCGCTTTCCTCACACGTTGATGATGATCCGTTTCCTCTTCTCTCTTCCTCTCCCCTTCTCTTTCCCTCTCTCTCTCTCATTCTCTCTCTTCACTCGCGTTCCCCATCATCCTTTTCGTCTAGCTTCTGCGGACTCGTGATCCTGACAGTCGTATGCATCTCAATTTCGCCAGGTCCATTCAGTCAAGAACGGGTAATTCAGAGGACTCCCGCTATTTGTTCTCTGCAGCTTCCTCGCTGCATTCCGGCGGTAGGAACGATTAATTTCTGCGTTTCCAACGCGACAGCAGAGCCCCCAAGATTGGAGTTCGAGTCCCCAAAATAATGTCCCATCTCGCTTGTTCGGGTTGGCTGTTCTTGCGGGCGGGGGGGGGGGCGTCGCAGGTCGGAGATCTGTACCTGCCGATGACCGCCGGCAATGTCCCGGTGATCTTCCCTCTCGAGGACAAGGCGCCGCTCGCGGGTTTCGGCGTTTGGGCTCGCGAAAAACAGCATGCCAGTACAAGTGTCATGGCTAGGAACACCTTGCAGATTGGCACGGACGTCTCCAGTCGGCACAGATTCCACCGTCTTCTGACGGGACGGACTCGTTTGGCCCGTCTCGCGTAAACGGAGTTCGGTTCGGCAGTGTTCGGCTCGTTGAGATTCGGTTCGCTTGAGCGGGTCGGGCGGGCGAGACCCTAACGATGTGCCAGGCGAAGTGGGTTGTGCGAAGCGAGCCCAACGAATGAAGCGGGGCGGGCGCAGCTGGGCGAAGCGAGCCCAGGCGAAGCATGCTGGGCGACGGGAGCATCGGGCGAAGCGAGCGCGGGCAAAGCGACTCCAGTTTTTCCAGACCAGCCGCGATCGGGGAAATAGTATCATTGGGGGGCCATCGACCATCGGCCTCTACACTCCACCCGAGAAATTGTTGATACGATGGGTTCTGTCATGGTGGTAAGGGTCACAGCTTGCCCAGTTCTGACTACTAGGCGACCCTGCCTGGCAGCATCCTGGTATCTTGATCACAAGAAGCAGGGCTTGGGAGGGACATGGGATATCTTCAGATCCAGGGCGTGGCACGGCTGCAGCGCTGCATGGTGACTCCGTTGCCCCTTGGGAACCTCTTGGAGTCTTCTCGAGAGCATATTGTTGGACCCTTGAGGGCCTCCTAGGGGCCTGTTGGATGTGTGTGGCGACATCGGGAGGTCTTGGCTGTTTGGGGGGGGGGGGCATGGGGGCCTGCGTGGGCCGTCCTGGTTCCGCCAGGGCGGCGCTGCCGAGGGATGCCCAGAGGCTGTCTGGTTGCCTGCCGCAGGCATTCCTCGGTCCTGTTTCGGCGCAGCAATGTGTTTCATTTGTTTTGCCTCCTGGATGGCTCCCAGGCGGTCCCTCTGGATCGTCTTTGGGCTCTCCTCCCGTTTCATTCTCACTCTAGCGTCCCATTTAAAGGATCATAATTTGCGCGTCTGTTGTTCTGCAATGTTATTTGTCCCTATCTCGTACACTGTCCATTGCCGTGTCGGCCTTCTCGGTCATCATCCTCTCTCCGTCATGCGATGCCTCCGATGCTCGATCAGAAGCGTCATGTGGAGAAGTGCAGGTAGGAGGAGGGTGCATGACGAGGAGGAGGATTGTAGTGTGCGTGAGGTATCGAGGGAGCGGGGAGGGAGGGTGAGACAGGGAGGGAGGGAGGGAGAGAGGAGGAAAGTGTTGCTTCCGAGCCGCATCCTGACCCTTGGGCGTGCCAGGGCCCCCCCGAGGGTCCCCCAGAGCCTGCAGGCCCCAGAGGTTTCTGCAGCCTTCCGAAGACCGAAGGCCTCTGGAGGCGAGAAAAGTAACTAAAATTGCACAGCAACCGGTCTCTGGATCCTCGGGTGAGTTCGGCAGGATGAGCTCGACAGGATGAGTCAGTTGGCCGGCTCTTTCGCTTCCCCCGCTCCCCAGAACGTGATTCGGGTGTTGCTAGAAGTGCCCCTGCGGGCTCCAGAGCACCCCTCACGAGGCCCAGAGGGCCCCAGGGGCCCAAAAAATGATCGACAAGCTGGGTGCACCTGAGGCAAGAGCCACCTAGGCTCCTTTACAGCAACCCCTGAGTGATGTCGTATGCTTGTCGGCGCCGCGGTGCCACCACTGCGCGGGTCCGCCCCGCGGTGCAAACGGGCGCAGTGCCCAGAGCCGCGGCGCGGCGCGGCGCGCAGGTTTCCCCCAGGTGCCTGCGGCGCCGGGGGAGGCGGGAGGAGGGAGGGAGGCAGCGAGGGGGGAGTTCGCGTAGGGAGGGAGGCGAGGGAGGGAAGGGAAGAAGGGAGGCAGCGAGGGAGGGAGGGAGGGAGGGAGGTTGGCGAGGGACGAGGAGCGAGGAAAGGAGGGAGGCAGCGAGGGAGGGACGGAGGCAGGGATGGAGGCGGGATGCTGTTCGATTCCAGTCGAGCGTTGCGCGATTCTGCACTTCGATCCGTGAGGTACGCTTGGCCTCCCAGATGGGGTCGGAGCAGTATGTGGTCGGAGGATGATCGCGCCGCATCGCCGATGCATCGCCCATGCGGCACGATGTGGAGCCCGATGTTCTCCCCGCCGACGTCGCCGATGCATCGCCGACGTCGCTGATGCATCGGCAATGCATCGCCGATGCACCAACGATACGGTGCGATCCTCCGACCCCGTCTAGGAGGCCTGCAAGGGAGGGAGGGTGATGGCACGTGACTCCAGTCGGGCGTTGTGTGAGTGTGGCCTTGTTAGGTTCGTGAGGTACGGCAGAAGCGTTTAGCTAACTGGAATCCTTATATGAGGGAGGGTGGCTTCGCCCTTGAGCACCCCTGGGATCGGCTGGCAAAGATGGCGTGTGGTTGCAAGGGTGGGGGAAATAGGAAACTATGATGATAAGAGGAGGGGCAACCAATTGTCGGCTCTACTTGCTGGGAGAAATGGAATCCATGCCTGGGGGTCGTTGATTCCGGGTGGGAGGCAACAGTCTAGCCACAGACAGGACATGTTTCGACCCCAGTGTTCGTGTGGGTCGACCCAGGATGCCCGAATGACGGACCCAGTGGAGAGACGACGACAAACGCAATGATGCCGAGGTGAGACGACGACGGCCGCCAAATGTCGATGATCCCGTAGGGTATGGAGGGCCACAATGGCCGTGCCGAGTTGGGCAGCCCGCTCATCTTGGCATACACCTCATGCCCTCATGCCTGCTTGTGCCCAAGGTCCTAGTAGTGAGTCCCTGGACATGGAGAGAGGAGCATCTCATTCCTGAGATGCCAATGATCGGAGTCAGAGGCATACGGGAAGAGGAATCAAGAGCGGAAGGCGAGGAGGCAAGGGCGGAGGATGAGGAAGCCACGGAGGCCGTATCGGGGGGGGATGGCCGATGCCCCTGCATCGTGTCCTCCAGGCTCCTGCGGAAAATTTGAGACCAGTCCCAGTCCGAGTCTTCAGCGGGCTTGTGGGTGAACAGGTCGGGTGGAACGGATGGCGGGGGTCACAGGAAAAGCGGATGGCGCTGAGAACATGTTGGGAAAAGGTGGGGCCGCCGTAGTGCCTAGGACCAGGAGAAGATGGGGATCGCCCGAAGAGGGAGGCAACGCTTGGGATGATTTTGGGGGAGACAGGAGGCAACACCTGGAAGGCATGTGATGAGTTGTGAGGTGGTTTCAGAATGGCCACGGGGATGCTTGTGGTGGACGCGCCGACCTGCAGCCTCAATGCCACTTCGTGCCCCTCGGCCCAGCCCTGGATGGTGAGTCCTGCCTGGAGAGCCAGCTCCTGGAACTGGAACATCTTCTGTCTCCGTCCTTGCCAACGGCAGACCTGCGCGCGTCGTTGCGGAGCGCCTCGGCCAACGTTGCGCCAATCGCAACTTCGATGCTGGAGGGCTGCGAAGTTCCCTTGCGCTCGAATGCGCGCGGCCTGCTGCCGCCGAGAAGCGGCTGATCGACGGGGCCGGCCAGTACGCTGGGATCCATCGCACCAGCCCGCGGGGAAAATGAGGGTGAGGGGAGGGTCAGCGGTGGGGGGCCGCCTAGCTTGGTCTCGCAGCCTCCGAGCCAAGGCGACCTGAGCCCGGGCTCAGGGATGAAGGAAGGGGAGGGTTCGGGGGGGAGGGGAGGGGAGGGAGGGAGGCAGGGAGGGAGGGAGGGAGGAGGAGAAGGAGGAGAAGGACGAGGGCGCGGCGCTGCGCGAAGGCTCCCCCTGTGCCTCCAGCGCCCTTCGCACCGCTGCCGCCGGTGGTCCAGGTGGATGGCGTGCTTCAGAATTTGGGCTGAGCCGGTGCTTCTGAGGGTTGAAGAAGAAACGAGGGTGAACATAAATGTTCGACGGTCCGCACGGATTCCGTGGATCCGCGCGGATTGTGGAACGTTATGTGTAATTGTATGCCTTATGCTTTCTGGAGGGCCAACGCTAGGGGTGGGAGTTGGGCTCAGAGGCTCATGGGGGAAGAGTCGACCGCTAATCGCCCATTCATCGCCGATAGGGTCCCGATAGGCCACCCCGCCCAGGAGCGTGGCGGTTTCGCCATTGGCGCCCCTTTCGAGCCAGTCTCCCCTATCGTTTCCCCTTCAGGTTTTGTGGAGGAGGGGGGAGGAGGGAGGAAGCTGTCGGGAAGGATTCAGGGCCAGGAGCGGCCTAGGGGTGATGAGCGATGAAGGTGTCCATAATCCATGCGCTCGCAGCCTGCATTCCGAGGTGCGATCCCATAGATATGCGATCCCGTGGATGCGTTCGGTGCGGGACATCCGTGCAGAGCCGCCCTGCATCAACTGGGGTCGCGGCCGAGAAGTCCAAACCACGGGGCCGCGGTGGATATGGCTCCCGCCCGCCTATTCAGGGCCATGAGCGCCCCAGCGGGGAAGGAAAGGAGTCGAACAACAAAGAGCAATGTTCCTTGGTTGACACCAGGAGGGGAGGAGGATTGGACACTACGGTTACCCACCAACGTCGAGGCGACGTCAAGTTAGCCTAGCGAAGGACACGTTTGTAGTTGCGAGTGCCGCAGGGACGACTTTTCCAGGCCGGCTGGGAAGTTTGTACTCTTCGGCCGCGTCACGCGGGGGGGAGACATTGTCGGCCCGTCTTGGAACAGGCGTCCCCGACGGCGTCAAAGTTTCTGTTATGCTATTCTTCGTTCGCTAATGCAAGTGCTGCGCGCTGCGGGAGGGTGTTGGGGCTTCCTGAAGGCGACACGGTCCATGTGAGGGGTGTGCGGAAATGGGCGTCGCGACGCCATTCGAAGTCTCCCACTGTGTTCCTAGTCGGAATTCCCAGTTGGGCAGGATCCGCCTGAGGGGCGTGCATGAACGAGGGTGGCGACGCTGCGCGAGCTCCCCCTCAGGGGCCACAGGTGGAGCCCTCTATGGTGCTCGATCTGTGTCAGGGGTATGCTGATGTGGGCGCGCTGACGCTACGGGAACGCCCCCACTGGGGCCGTGAGTGAAGCTTTTCGTGCTTGATGATCCATGTGAGGAACGTGTGAAATTAGCGAGGTGGAGGCGTTCCCACTGGGGCCAAAAGTGGAGCTCCACATTGGGACACGCGATCCAAGTAAGCGGTGCGCAGTTGAGGCTCTCTATGGGACAACATCCGTGCGAGTTGTGTGCTGAATTGGCGCGGAGACGTTATATGAATGCTCCCGCCACTCCGATCCGATCCGTGCGAGCGGTGCCGATCCAATCCGTGCGAGCTATGAGCCGAAATGAGCGCGCCGACGCCATACGGACGATCCCAATGGGATTTTGGGTGTAGCTACTTGGCTACGCAGAAGAATCGTGTGAGTGGTGTGCCAAATTGGGCGCGGCGACCCTCGGTAGTGTTATTTTGTGAACGCATGTTAACATTTCGAAAGCGCACGTGCACGCACGCACACGCGCGAGCGCACGCGCACGCGGTCAGGATCGGGCTTCAGCTGCTTGGGTTCGGGCTCGGGCTCGGGTTCGCCCGGGCACGCGAGCGCCCGCGCACGCTCGCGCACGCACTCGCAGGCTGTGGCAGCAACTCCCCTCCCCAATGGTTTTTCAGACTTAAGCCATAACGGTAACTGGACGGTAATCCGCATTGTTGAATCTATAAATCCCATCCTGGAGCACGGTTACATTCCCAAGATGTTCTCGTAGATTCAGCACGCCCAAAGAGTGGAAAACGTCCCTGCTAGGGCCTACCGAGGCCTATGCTCGGTAGTCTGCACCTCTGCCAAGGCACATCTCAATTGGTGCGACTTCGCTCGTCGGCGGGCTCTCGGAACCCGATCATTCAAACCTGGATCGTGGTCCTCACCGCCGGCGGGCCGAAGCGAGCGATTGAAGGACGCAAAGGAGGGGAGAGGGAGAGATGGAGGGGAGAACCCACCGCACCACCACCACCTGGCTGGGCACCTGGTTCCTGGACGGTACTCCCCTTCCGGTTCTGGGCTACTCCGACATAGTGGTTGTCCATTAGCATTTTCCTGGAGGCAGCTTGGGATCGGTTCTTCAGTCCTGGATCCTCTCGTCTTCTATCCACCTCTGATCCCTCATCTACTGATATCAGCCTCCCACTAGTCATTAAGTCAAACAACGCCGCGTTGCACTTTGTCACATCGTCTTTCGTCAGGGAATCCACAGGCATTCGTCCGCAGCGGACTTTGCCGGATGCTTGTTCTAGTGCTTCGCATATCATTGCCAGGTCAATGGCTGTACGTCTATCTTTAGCACTGGCGTTACCTTCTTTGATCAAAATGTCGTAGATTAATGTGGCGTCCACTACGTGGATCTGGCCATCTCGAGCTCCGAGGCGACAGTCTCGACGAAGTACTGTAGTGAATGGGCCAGATCGTCTTTGATGGTCACGAATGGTCACATCTCGGAACGCCACATCTCGGCACATGATCTGAAGGTACTCTACCTCGGCCACGGCTGACGAGAGTGCCTGCGTCTCGCCCGCCAAGGTTGACGGGACCTTGCGCCGGAGTTTCGAGTTGCGCCAGCCGAGGATGGACGCGCGGACGCATTGGTTATCTTCTATACTGCGGTCACATGCAAGCACCATCCACGCTCCTTGAGTGGGGTCCTCTGGAAGTCCCCTAGAATCGTCGGGTCCCGGGCCACCCACACCTCCTGCATCCGAGAAGGATACAGATGACATGTGCTCTGGGTTCAGCTTCCACACGGTGATCCCCCTACAGGCAGTGGCACGGAGGTGCTTGACCAGCTTATTGGCCAGACTGACATCTCCAGTGGTAGCCGCCTTCAGGCGGCTGGCAAGGATGCTCGCGGGCCCCGCTGCTTCCGGTCGAGCTTCTCGACCAATCCAGTTGAATTTATACACAAGGAATTTGAGCGACCGAAACTCTGAGTCCTCGAGGGGCGCGTCGTTGTGTGCAAGACGTCCGTTTGCTAGTAAAATGGGTCGGATCTCTTCTAGTATATATTTTCTCATATCAATAGTGGCTCGGCTTGGTCCTACAGTAACAAGGCGGTCTGCGTAGTCGACAGGTCTAGCTGGCAATGATGGATCGTCGACTTCCAACAGGATCATATTAAGCAGGTCCCTTGCTGTACCTGCACCAGCAGCACGGCTCGAGGAGGGCCCGGGTGAACCCATTCTTTTCCAGGAAACCGACCACGGTACGACGCCATGCCATTGGTGCGTCGTCCAGCCCGTACACGTCCACTTTCAGGCGGATCAGGGACCCTTTCGGCACACGGCTCGACGTAGATTTCACCCTGCGCCCGAGACATCCTATCCGATTGCATGAAAGCGTTCTTGACATCTGCGATGTCCGCGCACATCCCTAGGTTCATCATGATCTGGACAAAGGGCATGGTGCTTGATGTCTGGGGTTGTGGGAGAGTGAACCTGCAGGGATCCTGCATCTGGGTCCTTGTGTCCGTGGACGCACCAGCGCGACTTCGCTTCGGGCTCGGTAAACGTGCCTTCACGGGCTTCACCGGCGGACCATTCTACTAGAGATTACCCGTTCGTGCTGTTCCTTCCGCACGACTTCCGCCTGCTCGGGAGGGATGACCTCCACGCCTCCGGATCCACTCACGCTGTCCCACTCCTTTGATCCGAGGCATCGAACTTAGCCTGGTCTCTGGGTCCAAGTTTTCTCAGACACACCTCGCCGCCCCGGCTAGCGGCGAACAAACCGTTGCCCTGTTCATCTTAACTCAAGATCTTGGCCTGGACACCGTACCCGACCACCGTGTCTGGGACCACAAAATCCTCGCTCTCCTCGCTCCTCTCCTCGTCCCTCCGCTCCTCTCGGCCTCGGGGAGGAGACCAGGACCTCGGGGGCCTTCCTCCCTCCAGCGCCCTCACCAGTTGGCCCACCGCGTGACGAGGCTGAGTACCCCGTATGATGTCGCCTCGGGGCGGCACTGGTTCCTGTCCGAGGGGCGGGGAGAGAGTGGTAGCCGGGGGGAGAGAGTCGGTGCGAGCTCTCTTGACTTCTGGAGGTTCGCTCTGAGCTCGAGCTCTTTGGATGCAAGCTGGAACATCGAATGGTTGGATGAGTCTCCTAGGTCTCTGGACTCCAGGTCCAACTTCCTCTCTCCTCTCTGGAGCCGGCCCAGTGGCTGTGGGCGGCAAGAACAGGCCGGGCGGTGAGGGAAGACCAGGAGGAGAGTCGACTGGGGAAAGGCCTCCAGGGGGAGACGGTGCCTGAAAGGCGGATCGATCGCTCCCCTGCCCTGCTAGGCAGCACTCTCCCTCGCCGGAGTGGTAGTGCCTGAGGTCGGAGAGGCAGGAGCGACCGATTCACCCTCGCCCTGGCCTCTCCTGCCCCCGCTGGCCGAGGAAGCGCGAGTGGCCTCGGGTCCTGCCTGGGCCTCTGCCGAGTCCGGCACCGCGGGCGCCGCTTCTGGCGGTTGCCTTGGCAGAGTCCGCGGGGGGCCGGCTGGATCCGTCGCCTTTTGAGCTTCCTGTCTTCTGGTTACAGGAGCAGGCTCGTCGTGGGGCTCCGGGCCTGAAGCATGCGTAAGCCTGGGAGCGGGGTCCAGCTCCTGTCGAGCCTGGTCGTCCCAAGCGTCCTTTGGAGGACATCTTTCTCTCTGAACATCCACAGCGGTGGCCCTGCTGGTATGAGCCTGACGGAGGAGTTCCTGCCACTGAGAGCTTTGGGCGAGCTCAATTCCGTATTCTTCGTCGGCGCTAGCAGACCTAAGCTGCTCAACATAACATTTTGAAAGCCGAGCGCGCATAGCAACCCAAACAGTGCCCCCTTCGGCGAGGACGACAATCCCAGGACTGGTCCATCCGTCGCGACGCCTTCCCAGACTGTCGGCCTGAGGCTTGACTCGGGACACAAGTCTCCACACGTAGACCCATCGGCCAGGCGTGAAGATTCTTTGAGCAGGGGTTCGAGCCCTTGAGCCTTGAGGCCTTGCTAAGCTTTTCTCTAGCAATTACCTCCATGGCTAGCCTCCGCGCCGCCGATCGGATCTCCTGAGATCGCGAGAACTCGGCACCAGCCTCGTCCTGCCCGGACGGAGCCCGCACGAGAGCTTGCCACCCGGGCAGTCCGAACGAGTCGTCGGAGAGTTGCTCGTGGGGTAGCCTGGGGTTCTCTCCGAAAACAAGCTGGAGCGGTGAGAAGCCGCCACGGTGCCAGTACCTGTTTTTATTGGCGGTCAGCTCGTAGACCAACGTGATTGTCCAGCTCCTCGAGGCTCGTGGGGGCTCGTGGACCCGAATCCATCTCGAGCTTCACACGGTCTTTAATCCAAACCCCGTGCTTCTCGACGCGCCCGTTCTGCCAGGGCGAATCTGCGTCACAAATTCCGACATCCAAGCTGGACATCAGCGAGGAGGAGTGTTACCCTGGTTGCGACGACATGGACGAAGCCAAGAAGCAGCACGACGCTATGACAACAGGCAGAGACATCCATGCAAGCCTGCTGTACGCCCGGCCAGGCGAGACCGAGGACATTGCCGACAGAGGAAGGCCCACGCCTGGCCTGGCCCGATCTGGCCGACCCCACTTCGAGGAGTCCGGCCCCCCCCCCTGATTTCCCACAACCGTGGCAGACGAGGCGTGCACCACCCTCATGCCAAGACGGGACTTGCCGCGGCGGTTCATCTACAACAGGCTATGCCATGCAGTGGGTCCACGGTCAGACAGGGCTCCGACGCCCTCCGTGGCTTTCTCACCGTTGTATGCAAATCACCCGACACGCTGCACAAGGCCACATCTGTCCGTATGGGTGAAACGCATGTTTCGAGATTGGCGGACAGAGCCCTCTCATGCACCTCCTTGTTGGCGGCCCTACTCACCAGCTAAATGCTGGAGCCTCGGAGGCGACGACGTGAAGAGCCAGCTGTCCACCACTCCTGGGAGAGCCCTCGCTCGTGGCTCCAGCTCCATCTGTATGCCCCGCTCCCCCCACCGCTCTCCCAACTGACGTACCCCTTCCCACTCTCGCATGTCGGCGGAACGGTAGGGGGAAGGCCTGAGTGGCCGCGGCCAGGAGCACCGTCAGTCAGCCATGTCGCACTTCCTCATTCCAGCCTGCAAGCCAGCAGTATTAACTGGCACAGCGGCAACCCAGCGGTACCATCACCCTGGCGATGGCGAGGGCAGCTTCGCCTGGACTTGCAGCTCTCCCCTGCCGGCCGCTACCTCAGCACGTTCCGCTCCGCCACATTCCAGGTGCACCCGTATCGATTGCCACCTCAGCCTTCTTCGTTGCGCCGCGTTGCAGGTGCATCGCAGCAGCCAGCTTCAGCCCGCGAGCTTTCATACTGGATGGGGTTGTGCTTAACTGGGATGTCGGGGGGACGGCGACGGGAGGACTCCTTGGCAGTGGCCAGGGCGGCCACGGTCAGCGACCACGCGACGTTGCCAGTCCCTTTCGTCAGCCAGCGCGCTGCAACCTCGTGCCCACATAACTTTCGCACATTGGCATCCCACTATCTCAGTGTGTACAGCCGCAAACCAGCCAGCCGAGCTGCTTGAACAACTGTACCTACTAGACCATGCCGGGGGGCGGGCTAAGGGGTGAAGGCGGTGTTCGGAGGGACCACGCACGCCGTTGCAGGCCATCCAGGACAGGGTCAGGGTAGCCACAAACCATGGGAGCTGCCAGCGGCAACGCTTTTAGAGTCTATTATTACAGCAGCGCGCGCACTCGCCGCGAACTTCGCACTATTCGGATGCTGCGTTTTGAATCCAGATTTTAGCATACTTCCCTCATTCGCACCTAGTCGCTTGACCGCCACCAGCGTGGGGAGGGGTTCTCTATCGGATGGAGGCGAGCCACAGTCGAACGCGGCCGCCGTCACTAGATGGCACAAACCTCCCCGCGCCTGGGGAACCCCCAACTCGGTCCTCAGGCCCTCAATGGGGATCCTCCGCCTGCCTCGGCTGGCGATGGCCCCCATGATGGGACTGGGAGCCAGAATCTGTGGGATTCTTAACGGCAGGGGAGAGATCCTTTGTGCCATCGAATTCTTGGCGATAGCGGAAACATCCACAGACCAGCTGCTATGCACAATATATGCCATTAGCACCGCTCTTTCTCTCTATTCCTCGTTGCCGCTTTTATTGTTTTCTTCCCCTTGCTATTCACGTCGATCGCGTTTCTTACTTTTCTTTAATATTTCCTACCAGCCGGTGAGTACCTTCGCCAGGCTCACTAATTTGATCAAACACCATTAGGGGAAAACGCCCCTGATGGAAGGGATGGTCGCGTTCGACGAACTTTCTCGGAGAGAGAATGATATAGAGAGAGAGATAATAAACCAACAACAAGAGAAGAAGGGGGAAAAGGCGGAGGAGCAGGAGGAGGAGGAGGAAGAGGGACGGACGAGGCAGGCCCCTCCCTCCCTCCCCGACTCCAGGTGGGCCTGCCACCCTCGCAGATCGTGACCGCGTCCTTTGGCCGCGCGGGGTGGGCCGCCAGAGAAGAGGGGCCGGAGGAGGGGGGAGCGGGGGCCTCGGGCGTTGCGCAATATTTGGGCGATAATCAGAGGAGGGCAAATCGTGGGAATGTCTCGAGCGCGGCGCTGCATGGTTTGAGGGGGAACCGGCACGGGGTGCTGCACGGACCCGCTCGCGGCCAGATGGTGGGGATGTCTCGAGCGAGGCGTTCGTTTCGTGGCTGGGGCCCCTTTGCTTGCAGAGCAGGTGAGGATGTCTCGAGCGAGTCCGACGAAACGTTGGTTTATGCACCCCCGGCTTCTGTTTCTACAGAGTCCCAAGAGCACCCCGATGTAGCAGGCATAGTAGTTGGGCAGTCCAAGGGGGAGCCGCCAGGGATCGCTCAGCCGCCACAGGCTACGATTTTCCCACTCGGACACATATGGAATCGCCAGGATCTGATATGCACATATGGGAATCCTATTCATAATATTTGCACGACTCCTATCATACGTCTTATTGAGCCCGCCGAGCGGGAGTCACGGCGGGCCCCCAGGGGGAGACGAACCCGCAAATATCCCAATGAGGTTATGCTAGGAGGCACGTCTTCACTCAGGGTCGGTACGATAATGATCGTTGCAGGTTTTGTTTGTGGGTGATTGTGGACGCCTCCTGAGGGCATCCGGGGCCCATGAGACACGAAGTGCGTATGGGATGAGACACGGAGTGCATAAGGGGTTCGCCGAATTTGGGATCTTTATCAACCATTTCGGTCCGTATTGCGCGAATCTACATCGAAACTGCTGCGGCCGAAATGGGAAGTGGAAACACGATTCCAAAGCGGTGGAAGTGATGGGCTCCGCGGGCCCGCTGGGCCACGAAGAGCTCATCAAATGAGGTATGGACGTAAGATATAACTGACGGGTTTGATCACTGGCGTAGCCTCCCTTCTGTCTTCCGCCTGTGCCTCCGATCTCCATGCATCCTCCTCCGTATCCATTACGGCTACACTTGCGAGCCTCTGGCTCGCCGTGGGCGGGCGAGGCCATAGCACGCGCCGTGCCCAGGACCCCCGACAGCCGGACCAAGGGGCAGATTCGGATGCCGGGGTCCACACCCCCAGCGAAGTGGCGGTTCCAGCGAAAAACAGGCCGCAGGAGGCCGGCGGCTCCAGGAGGGAGCGGGCCTGTGGAGGCGCGGCGGCCCAGGGGAAGGTGGGCCGCTCGAGGCAGCGGCCTCGGGCGAGGAGGCGCGCCAGCTGGCAGGCGAGAGGTGGGCGCCACTGGTGTGACCTAGCCACGAGGCCGCTGCACAAGTTGGGGTGCAGCGTGGCGATGGCAATTTTCACGGTGCACACGTGGCTGGGCGCGTCCTTGGGGGTCGACTTCTATGCGGGCTTCACGGCGACAGCCACTTACAAAAGGCCCGAAATGGGCCATGCCCGCGCCAATGACGGCGAGAGCAGCAGCGGAGGAGGAGACGGCGACGACGCTAGGTGTGCCGATCAGGACGGCCCATCAAGCTGCGCGGCAGGGGACATGCGTTCGCGCTCACTTCTCCCGCGAGAGGACCACGGAGAAGGACGGCTTCCCCTTCTGCTCGGTGCACGCAGCGGACAGGGATGCGGCGCGGCGCAGCCGCTTTGCGACCCCGCGGCCAGAGAAGAGGGGCAGCCCAGGCGCCAATTCCCAGTGCGGCAAGCTGGAAGCAGGGGAGTCGGGGGAGGAGCGCCCGCCAGCGGCCGCCCGCAAGGGCAGCCCAGCGGCCAAGGTTGCCGCCGACCCAGCTTGGCTGTTACGCGCGCGCGACCCCTGGCGGGGCCGACGCGAGCTGGGGCGCCTGCCGCAGCCCCGCGCCCGCCGCGGCCCCCACGCGCGTTTCGCCGGTCCGTCCGGAGACGCCGCGGAGGGCGATCTCAGGACGAACGCATAGGCGACTGGGCCGAACGTCATCTCTTCCCCTCTGAATTCAGGTCGGCGGGTTCAGCGGCGCCCAGCCCCCCGCGACCTGTTGGAGAGCAGGGGCGGCGCCAGCTGTCGGACCATCGAGGTGACAGGCTGAGCCCGATGTCAGGAGCAGCGCCAGTCCGAGAAAGGAGCAGGCATCATCTGGCTCGGAGATCGAGATCTAAGAGCAGGAGCGCTACTCCGCCGAGGGGGGGGGCGCGCGGGGCGAGAGCAGGAGCGCTGCCCCGCCGAGGAGGTGCGCGCGGAGCGATCTCGACGAGCGGTTCAGGAGGGCGCGCGAGCAGGGCGAGGCGCGGCGCAGACGGGCCCCGCGCGCCACATTGTCGAAGAAACCGGTCCAAGCGGGCGGGCGGCCAGTCCGGCGGCGCAGCTCGCCTGGCCATGGCAGCCGAGAGCGGCGCGGGCCATCGCCCGAGCATTTTCTTTAGGTTGAGGGCAAAGTGTGAAATCGGAAATGCCGTTTCTCCCAGAACATCGCCACCCGTCAGTTCCCCCCCCATCTGCTCTGTCCTTTATTTATCCGCCTCCTGCGCCCCCGTTTCCGCCTCCGCGCCGATCAGTGCCTCCGCCTCCGCCTGCGTCTCCTCTTCTTAGGATGGCGTTTTCTCTCCTCTGCCTCCCTCCCCCCCCCCGCCCCCCTCAAACCCTCGCGTCGTCGTCGTCATCCGCCCGCCCGCGCTAATCGCTAATGGCATCGACCAGGTGGCGCGTCGCCTCTCTGGGGTCCACGTGCAATCGCCCCTTGACCACGCCCGCGCCGTCGCCGGCACTTCAATTAGAGTCGCCCTCTGTCAATCCAGGCCCCTGCCCCCCACGTCGCCAAGCCAGGGCGCGATGTCCCCGCAAACGTGCGCAGACTTTCTTCCGAAGCCCGCTCGGGGCTCCACTCGGGGCCGCCCCCGCCGCCCGTCGACGGGCCCCCGAATCCCGACCCCCGCCGTTTTTTTCCCACGCGTTTCCTGCCGAACGGCCGGGGGCGGTTCTAGAGAAGCAAACCGAATGTTAGAACGCGAAGCGAAATTCTAGAACCGCAAAGCGAATTATAGAACAGCAGAACTATTTCTAGAACGCAAAACCAAATTCTAGGAGATTGCGCCGCATAATGCGCAAGCAAAAACAAGTTCTAGAACGGCCAAAACAGTTCTAGAACGACGAGCGCAACAAACGCGATTCTAGAATTCTGGATAGACCATTCGGGCGCCAGTCGCGCGCTGTTTCGCCCGTCGGGTGCCAGTCGCGTGCTCGCGCGCCAGTCGCGCGCCCTTCTCGCTTGTCTGGCGCCGTTCGGGCGCTCGGGGGCCCATGGAACAACAGTTAAGACAATGTCAATAGAGTTCGCGCCCGCCTGCCATCCACAGATGCGCCGAGAGTGGGTTCGTCGAGGCACGAACGACCCGCGAATGACATCGGCGGGGCGGCAAAGCCTTGTTTGAAGGACTGCCGGGTGCGAGCCGTCAGCGGCGCCCGATCACGCGCGGGCGCAATCGTGGCGTCGCGGTAGAAGCCAAGCGACGCATATGCACAGGATGCTACACAACACAAGCTCCACCCCTAAAGCCACCCAACCACAAGACGGATTGATTTTCGAAGTGCGAGATCCCATATGGACTTCACCCTGAACCCCCCGCCCTCAGAGGATGCTCTAATCGCGATTTATCAGCTGAGCTCAACGAGGCCGCCGACGCCATGCGCGACGGCGCGGTCGGCGATGTCGAGCGCAGCATGCCGCGCGGCTGCCGGTCCGCGCGGCGCGTGGAGCTCGAGGGAGGAGGGGCCCCGCCGGCAATAGGGGCGCCGAGCGGCCCTCGCCCCCTCTCCTGCGACGCCGCCGCCGCTCGCCAGCGCCCCGCCGGGGCTCGGGTTTGTCGGCGTCGACGGGAATCCCCTGGCCTACCAGGCAGCCCCGAAGATCAACCCAGCCGCGTTCTTCCGGTCGAGAGGAGCGAGCCCCAACCTTCCGCGGGCGAATGCACGCGCGCTGTCGCTCCTGGAGCCCGCCGCGCGGCCGAGAGAACAACGCGCGCGAACCTCCCCCGCGCCCGCGGAGGACAGGGCGCCGGCGCCCCGCCTCCCCGAGACCGACCTGGGCACTAGCTCGCGGAACCTCGTCTGAGAGCGTAGGCGAGCCAACGTGTTCCCAGGAATACAGCGGCGCGGCCGAGGGGGCGCTGGCGAGCACCGGGTGCATCGAGGAGTAGCTGGTGCACGTGGCGCGCGGCTGGGGCAACTTCGCGGCATCTCTGCGCCCTGGTCTCTAGTGCAAAGGGCGCGTTCCGTAGGCTGCGGTCAATGGGCCAGAACTCCGAGACCCTGCTTCGGTCCATCAAGTTCCAGACGAACATCATTAATTTCTTCGCCGACGGCTTCGCGGCTCCTCCGGCGCGGAGGGCGAGACTGCGCCCGCTCGCCCGGCTACTGTGTCAACCGCGCCAACTTCCCGAAGACGTCGGAGGCGGACGCGGGCAGCTTCGCGCCGCCCAGAGAAAACAAGATGGAGGTCAGGCTGAGGCGCGCCACGACAGTGGCCAAGCGGTTCCAGGGCGCCGAGCGCGAGGCCGGGCGCGGCCCCGTTTCTACGGCCTGGAGCACAACAGGCAGCATGTGGAAGTTACAGAGGCTCTCTTGATGCTCAACGACGAGGCCGACTGCGCGCTGCCGCCCAAGATGATTTTCAATGTTTGGCGCGAGCTGCGCGGCAGGTTGCGCGCGGAGCTGGGGGCGACCCAGGCCCGTATGCTGGAGCTCATGGGCGACGAGAACCCGACGCGGGACAATGTCCGCTTTGCGCGCGTTTCCCCATCGGAGCGCGGGCGGGCCTTCGCCGCGGGTGGCCCTCTGGCTAAATAAAGTGGCGCCCATGGATGGCGCCCGGGGCTTGGTCCAACCGCCGCCGAAAAGGCACCCGCCAGCTCTCCGCAGGGCGCCCCCGTTCGGCTCGGGCGGGCGCCTAACCTGGGAGGGCGAGAATGATGCTGATGGCGGGGGCTTCGTCGCGTCAGGACGCGCAGCGCAGGCCTTTCGCGGAGCTGCCGGAGCCGGTCGGGGGTCTTCCAC